CTGTTTGATGTAAATTTCAAGTAATTGACTTTTTCAAAACAAATTTAGACATGTATACGTGTTCAATTCTCCTTTTCTAATCATCCGTCAAATTCAATTTGAGAGGCTCCGATTTGGTTTACTAATTTAAGGTCCAAATTTCAAATAAAGCCATAATTTTGAAATAAATCTTTCAAAAATTGAATAAACGTTCCGCCCACTACAGGATTTGGTACATTTAATCTCTTGGATTAATTCATAATTTGGTTTAATTTTTATTCGGTTTGCAGTTCCTGGACTTCAGTTTTTCCGGTTCTGGCCAAACATATGAATTAATGTAGCCGATGCAAAACTAGAAATTAATCAAAATTGACAATTCGAGTCTCGAATTCTGGATTTTTTGAGATCCGTCACAAAAGGGATTTTCTCGAGGAGGGGGGCGGATTTTCAAAAAAGTTTGGAAAATTTTGACGACCTTTTTTTTTATTTTAGGTCGGCCAAATTGATTTTCGGAGCTCTTCTAAAGCATTATAAAGACGCTGTTTTGGCCAAACTAACTTCGCTTTGCTACTAATCCGCCCCTACATTGAATTAGCAGTTGCTCCTTTCTAAAACGTACGATAGAAAATGGCTTCCAATTTGTCGACCTTTCTACTTAAGTACTTTCTGCCTTTTAGGACATTTAAATGGCGATTGACTATCTTCCAAACTTTCATCTGGTAACCTGAAAAAAATTTCAGATACGCTTTGAACCTGGGCCTTTTTTCTCCCTTGATAATCAATTGGCGTTCATCGAACAAAAAAGCAGAGATTAAAATACTTGTTTGGCTTTGTAACTAGATTTGATCAATTCCAACTGCCTCAATTTTTCTTCACTTAACAGCAAATTCTGGAAAAAAACAAACGACAGAGGGTGATGAGATCCTGCGGTTCTTTTCAGATTACACTGAGCTTTCAGAACTACTTTTGGCCTCGTCAACCATTTCACCCTTTATCTAGATTCTTTCTTAGTTAATGCCAAATTTTTGGAAGTATCTTTTTCGATTACGGAAACTGAAAGAAATTCATCAGCATAAAGCTGCCCTTTTAGCGTCAAAAATTAATTTCTCACTCATTGCAGCACGCAAAAATCGTGTCCAAAAATGTAATTAACCTATTAAGTACTGTTTTTGACCAATTAAGTTGTTCAAGGTCACCTAAACTGCCAACCATTTGGCATTAACTATATAACCGACATAGAGTTCGGTTGCGTATTAAAAACGTCAAAAAGAAGTTCAAAATTGCAAAGCTGTTGCTGTTGTTGTTGTTGTTAAAAAAAAAACAGCAACAGCTTTGCAATTTTGAACTTCTTTTTGACGTTTTTGTTACGCAACCGAACTCTATGTCGGTTATATAGTTACCGTATAGCTGTTGCTGAAGTCTTATGTAGCAGAGGTGAACTCCCGGCGACTGCATGATAAAATATCTTTTTTATGATGTCTAGAATACTGAAAAATTATGTTTTTATACATGGGAGAATTTAGGGGAAAGGATAGCTTTTCAGACTCCACAATCCAGTTTTAATTAAAGTAAAAAAAAATATTTTACTGTGGAGAAAACTGGATTGAGGAGTCTGATGAGCCGCCCTTTCTTCTAAATCCTCCCATGAATCAAAAGCCCGTAAAAATTTGAAACAATTATCTATAAAGATTTCATTTTACGCACCGGCTTGAGAGACTTCATAAAGTCACCAGACTTGTCGCGTGGCGTTTTGTTTTCAAATAAACTACAAATATTTTTATAAAATTTTTGATATTTATTTAAAATGAAACATCTCAAAAGTCATGTAAAAAATTTACGTCATTTGCTACAAGAGAGAAATTCCTATTGAAATCATTTTTTCAATGTGCTTAGTTTGCAGGTGGAATGTATTCCGATATTTAAGCCTAATTGCAAATCATGTTGACGTAAACGAAGTATGAGGTATATGAGGTATAGATATTTTTCTTCGACTTTGAGGGGCGGTCGGATTGAGGGCTTTTCCCTGATAAACGAGCAGTTTTTTTAAATAAAAATATGTCATCACTCTTGAAATTAAAGAAGATGCACAGCACAGTACATGGGCTAAAATTTGTCTAAATTCGTACAAGAACCGTTAAATTTCTCCAAGTTGCATAAAAATTGTCTGAAAACTGTCCATATCTATAAGTTATCTCTGCATTTTGGTTCATGTTTACATAAACATGTTCATATATATGATTTTGAACGAAAGCTTTTGGCTCAAAAACGTACTGAAAAATAATTTTTGAGTACGTTTTACGCCTAGTTTTTGCTCGAAAGAAAATTTTTCTTTTATGGCCCTTGGGATTTATGGGGTTTGGTTTTTATGGGCCGCTCATTTTTATGCGTTTTGGAATTTATCAACTCCAGTTTTGGTTAAATATGGGCTGAACATAATTATCGGGCTTGAAGTTTTTCAATTTAGTCAGTTTTTAGTCAGTATGGGCGAACATAGATATAGGGCATGAAATTTTTCAATTCGCTCACTTCAGGATAAATATGGGCAAACATAATTATGGGGCATAAAACAATTCAATTTATTCACTTTGGGTTAAATTGGGCAAACTTAATTATGTGGCTTACAATTTTTCAAATCAGTCACTTTGTGATGAGTATCTTCGCGCTTTTTTAGTTTCAAGCATAAAAGCACGAAAACCTTATATAAGCAAGCTATTTGATTCCGATTGAGCGCAATTAAACAATAAAACTATCACATTGTGTTTGACATTAGGTGCCAAGGATTTTGTAAAAAAATTTTTCAATTTGTTTATTTTAAAAATGATTCCAACAGGTTGAGAGTTGAAACTTATAGAGCTTCTTATTGATATGAGCAGTTTTGTTTTACCATGCTCTTACGGGTTTCAAAATAATTTCATTTGAAATCAACCGAGTGGATTTTTTTATAAGCGGCATTTACAAAAAAAGAAGACTCGTATATCAGTGCAAAGCTTTGAATGTTCTGACTGCCCTTTGACTGGTCTCGAATAGTTTTTGTTCAAATTTTTTTTATGAACTAAAGGAAAGTGCTAACGGTTGAGAAAAAATCATATGACCAAGTTTAGTTGGCCTTAATTCAGTTTGGAAGGATAATGAGCGCAAAAGATTTGCCACGCTTAAGTAATTCATGTATTGAAACAAGACTGCTCGGATCAGGGCGAAGCCCTGAATGTTCCGACTGCCGCCTTTTAATGTTTAATAAAATGTAATAAAAATGAAAAAAAAATTTCTAAAATTTGAAATTTTTTATGAAAATCATCCCCCCACACGCCATATAAAGTACAAAATGATAGATTTCGCTCCTTGTAACAAATCAATTATGGCAAATAAGCTTCTTCCAACTAATTTGGAGCGATTTCTAAGACGGATTAAATATCCGCTTACGCGTTAATAGCGCGAATTATATCGCGCGTTAATTGTCCCAAATTGGTCAAAATGGCCAAAATGGCAATCTTTAAACCCTCATAACTTCACGAAAAATTATCACAGGTCAAATATCTTTTCAAATTTGAGCTCAGGACAACAATAGCTTTCGAATGATATAAAAAAATTCCGTCAAAAATGGCTAGTTAAAAAGTCGAAATTTGTCTGAAGAAAAAAAAACCCACCCCGAGCACAAATATTCCGTTACTTTCGTATCGAAAGTCGGAACAATTATCAAAGTTTTATTCGAGCAGCGAAGATATCCGCAGTTTAGGTTGGTGCAAGCATACTCGCTTGGCAATTCATAGGCTGTCAACTTTCGTAAAATTGGTTTGAACTTGGAAACAATAAACCCGACAAATACATTCCTCACTTTCTTCAAAAGTCGGAACAAAAACCTAGTTGATTTCTACTATCCAAAATGGTTTAGCTTTAATCGGATCATTTTTTCAATCGAAAACTCATGTCAGAGGACGTTTAAAAATATAGGTCAATTCTGGTTTCTTAAATGTAGCTGGATAATTGTGAGTACATTATCAAATGCCAAAGACTCATAAGCCAACTGGCTCACAACGAGAAACATCAAAAAATCACTTGTTAAATTTATTACCCATGTCAGAATTAAAATGAGTAGTAGAAAATAACCACTAAAACTTATGGACAGCGTTTGTAGAGACAGACCATCAGATCAATTAAGCGTCTATTTATGACGTCGAGTTTCAAATATTATCATCAGGAAATTTAATGGCTTTTTTTTTAAATCAGTGAGTTCTTAACATGTCCGAAAGACTAAATATTATAACAATTCCAAAGAATTTCAGCTGAACAAATTCTGACTGAATTGTCATTTATTTTTTCAGATCTTTGAACGCGGAGTTGTGATCGGCTAACATGATTTTCCGTCAATTTCCTTTAATGGATTCGGTTCCCCTCAGATCTTGACGTCATTTTCTTACTGTTTAAGAAGCTTATTCACTTGAATGATTTTTGAATTCGTTTTCAGGGTTCATTTGTAGTAATTGACTGGTTTAGACAATCTATTGACAATTTCCTTGAGTTGAAACCATCTTCTGAAGGTTCATTTCATTTTTATGTCTTTTGTCCGAAATTGAGATTGCCGGTGGCGCAAGTTGGTTTAATTGAACGGCTTTATAGTTGTTGTAACTGTCTGCCTCGGGTAAATTTGTTCGTAAAGGGGCGGATTTTTGAAGGCTTGATTCAGAGTTCCTGTAACTTTGGTAGCTTTATCAATGAATCGGTGGTATGACAATATCTATTAAAAATTCGCCTAAAATTCAGCTGGTGGTTTTTTTTAAATTTATTTGATTTCAAAGCGAGTTATAAAATCAGTCTCCATTATGTCAAACAATTCTCTTCAGTGTCTCGGTTCTACTAAAAATTCTGGGCTTTAAGCAATGAGAATGAATACTAATCAGCTTTTCTTTATAAATCAGCTATTTTAAGCTAGTCAGCTATTTTCAATGTGAAATGAACAAATAAGCATGACCTTGGAAGTGGCCCATAGTGACCTTGATTTCAATTAAAGTTCGTTTGTGTTTTAGCTGTGGTGTCGTTGTTGACCATAAGTGGCAATGTGCTGGTCATCCTCGCCTTCTTACGCAATCCTCGACTGAAGACGACTGCCAATCTCTACATCGTCTCACTCTCAATAGCCGACATGCTCGTAGGTGAGTATCGTGACAAAACGAGCTTTTCCAAACTGCTACATTCATCCATGTTAATATACTGAGTATATTGTGAACATGTATTCTGAAAATCTGCTCTTATTCTGAAAATTATTATGAAAATCTCCTCTTTGGATTGATCTAAATCGTGATTTAAATTATACGGACAAAGCGAATAAAAAAGAAACTTTGAACGCGTTTTTCTCAAATTGGGCCGAGAAAAAGTTATGAGAACAAACAATGTCTAGATTCTTTTTATTGCATATTTATTATGGTGCCACTTACCCGGCAAAGCTCGGACCCACAAACGGTCATTTTTGGCTTCATTAAATCAATCAAAATCAGAAAAATAACCAAAAAAAAGTGCATGTAGTTCTTAAACAGGGGCACATCAGCCAGTAGATAGCTGATCAAATTTATCTCAAACTGAGAATCTAATATAGCCTAGCTCAAGGAGTGTAAACTTCTACTGTTCTACAATAGGTTGACCAAAAAAGGAGGCCGTATTATAGAACCAAATATGGAAATTTTACTTTTCTACAAAAACGTGGGATTGAGGGAAAGTGTTTCCGAATGTTTTACAAAAAAAAAACAAGTCAAAGTATACGCTTTCTGATCATAACTTAAATTATGCCTTAAATTTGACAGAAAATGAGGCTAGTGGCTTTAGTTTTTGGATCAATTTTAATTCAGATTTGACTTGTTTTGATGCATGGTGACATCTCAACATCTTCAATCACGCAGATGCCATTTTTACTTGTCATATACACCCGTACACTTTTTTATCGGCCAATTTGAGCACTGACTATTTTCATGGGGCTTTGGATAAAAATGGGGCTTTAAGCAAAAAAATTAAAAAGCCTTCTCATTTAATAAAAAGAAGTCCAATTTTAAATTTTTTTCTGGATGATCCTTCTCAATTTGTTACTTGAAAAAAGAAAGTGTGTAGGTGAAAGCGTGTAGGTGAAAAGGGGCGAAGAAACCAAATTTGATCTATTCTCCAACTGAAATTGACTTCTGCACTTTTTTTCTAGATATGCTCTATTTTTGGGCACTATTTCATTTTTCGACCTCCTACAAACATTTTTTATTGCAATTCAGTAGCTTGTTTAGAGAGAGACGACCAACGCCAACTTAAATTTTAATGCCTTAATTTTTTCGAAGCGTCTCTCTTTGGGCCAATTTGCAATATCCAAATTCAGCCAAGTAGCCCTAAATTGTTTTCAAAAGGGCTTGCGGCAACAAAATAAAATAAATTGACTGGGAGCAAAATAAAATAAATTTAGTAGTTTTACAAGTTAAATATGAGTTAAAGAGCAGATTTGAGTGTGGGCTTGGATTATAAATAGACGGGCAAAGCTTACCATCGACCTGAAAAAACCCATCGCTCATCAAAGTCCAGAAAAAAAACCCGAAAACGCATTTTTTTCATTGAAAAAAACTCTTACACTCGGCAGCACTTGCAGCAGTTTCAGGGTGAAGCAGACAAAACCCTATTGTTATGATTGTATTACATTAGTGTAAAGTTTATGTAATAATAACCGGCAAGGTAAATGCTTGAGCCAAAAATGAACGACGTAATGGAAGACCCTGAAAGCTTTGATGTCTCTAAAATTTTACCCTAACCACACTGATTTATTTTTTCCTTAACACATTTTATGTTAACAGATATTCAATTTTGCGCAAATCTGGAACTTAAGTGCAAACAAGAAACTATTTTTTTCAAACCCCGCTTTTTGCTTTGCTTTATTGCATTTTGATTCTATCATCCATCCATCTATACTTCGATTAAGACAGATCGTATCAAGACTAAACCTTGGATTTTTGAAGGTACAACTTGAAGTATCCCAATCTCCTAAAAATAAATACCAAACAAGTACCAAGTTATATAGTTTGAGTCTGAACAAGAAGTTTTTATGTTATCAATTAATTGGCCCTATTCATTTTGAAATGATTATTGTTCCGGTTTTCAAAAGGCAATCGGAGCATTCGGGGGTTCGCCTGGTTTCGAGCAATTTTATTTGAGCCTTTGTAATGCCGCGCTCAAATGATTTGCATCTAAGAGTTGTGAACTAAACATATTTAGAAACAAGGATAGCAGGTTACTGTGCAAGTAGCACATAATGTTCCGACCATGGTCTTTTCAAATTGGTCTCGTATTTTTCTATGTGGTGTGATAAATTATCTGCACGAAAAAATAGAACTTACGCATATTTGACTGTCAATAATAAAATATTTCATTTGGAAAACTGTTATTGTAGAAAAATGACTTTATAAACGAAAAAAAAATCGTTGAAAAATCGTTACAAATTTTTTTGCAGAAAGTTTTTGAAAATTGAAGATTTTGATTTTCAAATTGGCGCTGAAAAAACTCCAAAATTTTTTTTTATATGTGTTAAACTAAGTATCATGGCTTAAATTGAGCACAAATAAGCTATTGTAAGCCTGCATGCTCACCGCATTTTCTTGAAATTAGACCAAAAATCATAAAATTCAAACTGGTTTTTCTCGGTACTGAGAAAAATTTTTTAATGTTGTTCGAATCACAACTGAAAGGCCTTCAATATGAGATATCACTCAACCATTCCGATGATTCCTTAAAGTAACTGATTTTGCGTGGAAAACAAAAAGAAAAAACTTTTAAAATAATAAAACACACCCGAATACAAAATTCCTCCACATATTTCAAATGGTCGGAACAATAAAGTTTGTTATATTACTCTATAGCGAATGAGCAAAACGCTTTTCACTACAGTTTTATAAAGTGATTGCAGAGGAAATGTATCAATTGTGAGTTTTGTTTTCGGCACTGATTTTTTTATTGTGGTTTTAATTTTGTGTACAATCATAGTCTTTGGATTTCTGAAAAAGTTCTAAGGAAAAAATTATGCCAATAATAATCTTTTTTTATTTGGTCAATGAACTATTGAACCTGTGTCCAACTTTCACACATGAAACCTATAATGAAATTATACTTCACATGACCTAAAAGGAAAGCATGAAATATTTGTGGTCTGTTGAGAATGTGAAAACGTTAGTCGTTCAATCGTAAATTCCAATACAAAGTTAGTCAACTTAATCTTACAAAGTTAGCATAGAGAGTGGTTGTAAACAGTATCCAAGGGTGACAGACTGTTCCAAGGACAAACACCTGCTAATCGATTACTTTAGCATCATGAGTGAACAGTTGATTGACAGCTTGCAATGTGAACTAAATAACACTATACAATACTTCCCCTTCAATAATGAAACTTTACTTGATTGAAAATATGACGGCACCTGTTGATTATAAATGATTGATAGGAATTACTAACTGCATGTTTGAAAGAACAATTTAGATTTTATGACTATAAATTTCAACAACTAAAAAGATCACTGAGCAGTGATGACGTTGAGTTTTAAGTCACTAATGACCCACCCTCTCCCTGGGTTAGAAAGTTTTAATGTGGTAAAGTTTACTAGTTTCTTTTAGGTCACTTCTTCACTTTTTCCCCTCTTTTTTGTTTTGGTTGATGAAGTCAATCATCACACCCCCCACCGTAGTGACCGCAGTTCTCTTCCGTCCGCTTTTTGGAGACGTCGTGGATGCTGTTTCGTCCTGGCTATCGCCCTGACTGCTGTATGATACCAGCCTGGCCTTCCTTGTTGTTAGTCCCTTCTTTTTACTAGGTCCTGGTAATGACGTTGCATGTGTCTGGTCCCCTGGATTGGACGTTGTTTGATCCCTTGGATTTTTGTCCAAATCACGCCTAGTGCCGGAATGGTGTCCTGGTCGCTGTTGCGGTTGTTGCTGTTGGTCCTGTTTGTGCTCTTGGTGGTTCAGTTGATGGTTGTTTAGCCCGTTTTACCGAAATATTTGGCAAATCGTCACTGTCTTCCGACTATGAACCACTGTTCTCAAATCGGCGCCCGGTTTTTTTTCTTTGTCTGTCCGAAATAATTCGTTGTGCAGCTCGCTCTTTAACCTCACGCGGAGTTGGCGGTGGTGATGCTGAAAGAGATGCTCGCTTTTTAACCTCACGCGAAGTTGGCGGTGGTACCGGCAATACCGAATGAGATGTCGCTTTTGATTTCTTTGACTTAGGCTTCGTAGCCACTCCCGATTTTCTAAGCACAACCCCATTATTTAGGGTTAATGCATGCGTACGTTCGGATTTTACTTTAGAATGAAGTTGTTTATACATTTTTAGGTTCCTGTTTCCAGTTCGCTGGAACAACAATCCAGATGGTTCTGGTTGTCGGCTCAGCTCGGTGGGTTTTAGAATTGATGGTTCGTCGTGTTGATTGGCGGATTGGTCATCGGTTAACCGGCGTGCGTGGCTCCTATGGTTGATGTCATATGCTAAGTCCGATCGTACACTCCAGTTTGTATCAGCTGGATGGGGCATATTCTGCGCATTAGGATCGGCGGCATCTAAACAAGCATTTTTCGTTTTTATAACCCGTGACCAATCCAGATTTTGAAGAGATGGTTTTTTTGTAAGGTTCCGTAAGACCGTGTTGGCTTCTCTACCATGATGCGCCTCAAATGGCGAGATTTTTAGTGTTGCAGTCTTTGAAAATCTAAGAGCACCAAGGGCCCTTTCAACCATTTTTTCCAAGGGTTCGGGATGTTTTTCTTGGGCGAAAGTCAGGATGGAATTTTTAAGACTGCCAATGGTACGCTCGACGCACCCGGTTGCCCGATGATCATTGACTGGCGACTTTATGATTTTATTGCCCTCCTTATTTTAGAAGGCTTTAATCTCGTTTGTAATAAAACTCGTTCCCTGATCTACGTGAATTTTCCGTGGCACCCCATGATTTGTTATATAACTTTTTAAAATTTTCATTATCTTATCAGACCGATTATTTCCACAGACCATGGCCGATGGCCAACGAGAAAAACGATGGACCGCCACTAATACATATTTCCGGGATTCATTCAAATAAATAATGGGACCCCAAAAACCTAGTTGGACTGACTCATTTGGTTTCTTCGGTTCGGGTACAGTTCCAAGTTG